CCTGAGTGGATTCGTGTATAGGGCGCTCTGGATTGCAGGGCACGCAGTCGTTTTTGATGGGGTTAGAGACTTAAGAGCGCGTCTAATAGCCTGGAAAATATGGTAATACATAAGGTGCACCGGATTATAAGAAGCACTGTTGATTTTTGAGAAAATGAAAGGATTTTAAGGACGTTTAATACTATACTTTGGAACTTAGGCAGCGAAACATCCGCCAGAAATGTTGTGTGGCTTTAATGTGGCATAAACAGCCAGATAAAGGCAAATAGTTCCATTATCTAGTGAGCATAATGTTACGCTATTTTTTGATCTATGATATAATGCTGTTTCCTCATCACAAACACACTCCATACACCTTCACGAGAGTCATTTGGATCATTTTAGCCCTGGAATTGCCAATCTCTACTGCACTAAACATAAAAGGTAGCTGAAAAAACGACCGCGTTATGACATCACAAGGTGGAACTCAGCATTTTGAGGTTTGGAGATGTAGACAGACTAATAATAAAGGATTACTCAAACATGTGAATGGAACAAAACACAACTCCAGGTCTGTTTGTGATAAGGTTTAAATAGTCAGTACATTTTGGATGTCATTTTTTAACTCCCCGCTTCTGTATTTTTGTACGTTTTTCTTCGACACTGAACCCGAAAACCTGCCATATGCACTTTAAGATAATAATCGTGACTGCCCTAGTCATCACATTCATATCTCATTTATGTCTTTAACACATTTACGGCTTTCCTTCATTTCATTTCCTGTGAATTTAAGCCCACCTTCGCATTTCACCATATGGCCTCCCTGTGTGTCATATGGCCCTTCTCCTTATGCTAATGTTGCATGTTTATTACCAGGCTGTCTTCGCATGATCTCTCTTAATCCCTCTGTATAACCAATCTGTCAACTCAATGCCTTTTTCCCCATAGTCTTACCCTAAGCGCGTTCACATCTGGACCTGTCTCCTCTCTCATTTCTCCGCCGGGTTCAAGGCGCAGTCCGATAAACGAAAATTCAGTTAAAGGTTAAAATGTTAAAGGTCCCGTGTTATGCAAAATTGACTCTTGGCAGCTTTAAGCCGTGTTCAAATGTTGTGTTTTATGTCGCATGTTTCTATTCGAGACAGGAGCTCAGAGTAAATAAGCAGGGTTTGTGTGATAAAGGCACCTGCACTGCTAATTTCTCTGATCTGGCCAAGATTTTAAACTTATATCAGGTTATTCATCTTGTTTTCTGATTTATTATCGTCTTACTAGTCCTGAGATGCTTAATTCTAATCTAGAGGTAGTTTATTTTAGGATAATGTGTTGAGTAAAATAATTTTGCTGCATGGTAGGGCTGAACGATCTATCTTTTTTTGGACGAAAAATCGCGATCTCAGACAACACGATTTTTTATAAGGACAACAGAATATAATATTAAAAAATACAATAATCAGCATAAAACAAAAGACAAAAACATAAAGCAACATCCACAAAAAAAATCATTCCCCCCGACCACACACACTAACACAAATTTTGCTAAATTAAACAAAATTAAAATGGTAGTGCAGCATAAACACACCGCTGTGCCTCCTTACACTGACACATTGCAGCTAAATCATAACTGAAATTCCTTTTTTCTCTTTTTTTCTTCTTTTCCCCCTCCCCCCTCCCATTTTTAAATAAAAAAAAAAAGTCCCTATACTTAAACTAATTTTATTTTCACCATCATCATTTCATTTCATCATTTTTTTTGTAATTTATTACAAACTCAAATCATAATTTTAAAGGCTTTTTTTTTCTTCTTCCCCATTTTAACTAATATTAGACAATACGATCTTGGGAGAGTCAAAGCCGTGTTTTTTTGCAGTGATCCTAAAGCCCAATTTCAAGGTCAAAGTTTAGTTCTGCGTCGACTTAGCGCACACTGCCGCCGTCGCCTTGTCGCCGTCGTTTATGATTTATGGATCTGCGTCGAGGTCTATGCGCCGTGAAGTAATTCATCACCACAACGCGAGGAGGCGAGGATTTAAACCTGGTGTTTGTGTAAAGGTTTAACATGAACCATCTCCAACGCGATAGAAGCACAGAACAGACTCACCATCATCAGCACATCCTCTGTCACAGGAAGAACACTCATATTCCACTGAGTCGTGTCCTTTAGTTCGACAGGACACAAAGAGAGAGCTGTTTTTTTGGGGGGGGGTTCAGCTCTTATAGTTTAGGCAAATGAGCCATGTGGTTTTAAGTTTAATTTCTGTAAAACGTAAAAAAAAAATGTGTGCAAACGGTCCAATGTCAAATCATCAGTGCAGGACTCTGGTATGATGTAAGTTTCTGTAATTTTTGCAAAATGTTCATGTGCACTGAAGCTTGATTTGAAAAAAAAAAAAAAAGTAATGGGTGAAATTGAAATCACAATATCTGCCAGAAAAATCACAATTCATTTTTTTCTTAAAATCATTCAGCCCAACTGCATGGTCAGATAATTTCACTACTTTTAAGTCATTTTCTGATATATTTAAGTGTTTATATCTAAAATTTTGGACAAGCTTTTTTGCAGTGTGCTTTTCATGCTTGGAATGTTCCACAGTATGACTTTAAACAGCTCCACCTTGTATTTATTAAGTTACACTCAATTTTACAGCTCAAAAATACCTAGAAAACAGGCATTCTGACTGTGAGCGGGGTCGCCTCTCCGCAGATCTGACCTGTAACTTGGTCTGGTTTGGTTTCCATGAAGATAGAAAGGTGTAATGCCATATTGTGAAACATTGATAGACCCTCCACCAGAAAAGTTACTACACAATGCACTGTTAAACACATGTGAAAGAAACAAAACAAAACTCCAGGTGTGTTTGTCATGAGGAAACAGAGTTATAACATAGATCAGAAAATAACGTAATATGGACCCTTTAATTACACTCACGTGCCTCCTTCAGGGCCCGTCAGAAACAAGTTGGACTGATTTACGTTTCATAATTTCTCAGAGCCCTCGGAGAATGTCGTCAGTGATAGAAATGTCTGGTTTTAATTACTTTGCTAGTGAGGTGTAACTAAGCAAATCCCAAGGAATTCATTTGTTTTCGAAATAAACAAATCGGCTGAAGCAATATAATTATACAAATGTGAATTTTAATTAGTTACATTGTCAGTAATATTGCCAAGAAACAGTCGAATATGTTTTCTTGTTTCTTTAAATTTAAGTTGCATAGTGTAAAGTTGTTTTTAATTCCCTTTATTTAATGTAATGTAATATTCCTACTTTACATAATCAATGGTGAAAGTTGTAGATGTAACAATATCCAAATCTCTCGGTACAATATTATCATGATATGCGTCTCATGGTACGATATTTATTGCAATATTTTGGAGTGGCAAATATAATTGGACACTTTCTGCTTTTAAAATCCCTTGACAAGATTTTGGTGTGAATTATTTCCATCATAATCCCAAGAATTCAAGTAAAAAACATATTTCTTCATGTTGTTTGCGCTGAAATGAATCATGGGATATGTAGTTTCTGATGTTTATAAGCTGTTGCTACTATAAAACCATGCATTTAAGCAAAGAAACTTGTGATTCGATATTATTGTGAGACTTTTGACGATACGATATCACGATATTTTGGTTATTGTTACTTCCCTACTTTACACTGCACAGTGTTATATTGTTTTTTAGTCTTTTAAAGGTTGTAATTTGTTTGCCTCTAACGGTAAATAAACATCTATGGACAGATCTATGGAGTGGCGCCCTGTTTTCAATAAGGATTCATGTTTTTTAAGGTATTTTTAATCATTCAAAACACCTGTAATTGAATATATGTATGTAAAGTAGTAGTAGTAGTAGTTTAATATCAGAGTGTGGAACATTTCAAGCCAAGCTCTTGATAGTGTTGGAATTATCTTGATTTTGATTTAATGTTTGCCATGTTCCTGTTGTTCTTGGACTGAGAATTGCCACACTGGAATTTCCCCATTGTGAGATAAAGCTGGCATATACAGTAAAGGATATCATTTTAATGTATTATCACATTTATACAGTGACTTAGTGGTTAGAGGAACACCCTCAAATCCAGTGGTTGGCGGTTTGATCCCAGCTCCAACCAGTGCATATTGTTGTTTTGTCCTTGTGCATAAAACTTCACCCATGAATCTGGTGTGAGTGAGTTAATGGGTCTGGCTCTCCTCGCAGCATTAGGATTCATTCGCTCGATGTAGGCGGGTACTTTTTTTACTTAACCAATCTCTGCTATTTGGTCGTGACGTATGTAATGCGCCAAATCCCGTAGGAAGAAGGGCAATAACGTCTTTCCCCTTGATAAAATTCACCAAACATTCTCTTTGTTCCGGCTTTAAATCCTCGATCTCTGGAGTCGTTGCCAACACAGACAGTCTGTCTTCGTCTACATCCATCTCGACCGCTTTGTTTACTGTTGTGTTGTTCCACAAAAGGGACCAAGACAGACGCTTGAGTTTGACGTCATGGCTTCACAGCTCTTCTCTGATTGGCCGGTGTGCGGTCTACAACTTCTGGTGTTCTTGCAAACCGTCTAGTGTATTCCGATTCCTGACCTAGTCGCTGGAGAGAAAAGAAATTGAGCAGTAGGCTGGCGCCAGCTTGACTAGGCTGTTGATACTTCACTGTGAAATCACGTTGGGGTTGTAATTCTTGGATGTCTACGGAGGAATGTTCAGCAGTTATCATGGTGACACAATGAAAAGATTAGCAAACACAGCCAAAAAAGTTTGTAGATAGTCTGAGAAAACAGCAACAAAAAAAAGGTGAGGGTGCCCAACTGAAAAACTGTTGTAGTTCTAACTAAATGTGTTCCTTATGGTCAGGTTGTGTTAAAACAAAACTCAGATTAAAGTCTAGTAACTGGAGTAAAATAGCTTCCAAACAGAGCAGAGCTTACATTTAGCACCACACCCCCAGGGAATGTCGATTAAATCAGCTGCAAGTTTCAATATAAGTCTAACATTTATGATTAAAATTCCTTATATTATCTTTTCCCTCAGGACCACTCTGATAACCCCCTGGGAGCCGCAGTGACTTTGGCTCATGAGCTCGGACACAACTTTGGGATGAACCACGACACCCCGGAGCGAGGCTGTGGCTGCAGGGTGACCGCGGACAGAGGCGGGTGCATCATGACGCCCTCTACTGGGTAAGACAAGAAATACACACCATGTTATAGCTGATGTTGTATTAAATCTAAATCTTAAGCGTCATTCACACATAGATCTTGGTAAATTGCTGGGTAAAAAATGCTAGAAAACCCAGTGAAGACTGCCATTCACACAAGTACCAGTCTGCTCTTTTCACACGTCACCTGGACATTGCCTCTCTGCTCTTTCATAAATCGAATGAGAATAGAACGTAACCAGGTAATGTAACCAGGAAACTAAGCATGTAACCAGATAGTTTTACACATAGAACAGCCGGTTTCAGTTCGTAGAAACCGTCTGACCTCGCAGTGTTAGAATTTGTTTGCTCGACAGTAGGGGGGTACTTTTTTCATTTAACTAATCGCTGATATTTGGTTGTGTTGTCTGTAATGCACCACTAACAGGGCTAACTGGTATATTAAGCTTTTCCCAAATCCCGTAGGAAGAAGGGCAATAACGTCTTTCCCCTTGATAAAATTCACCAAACATTCTCTTTGTTCCGGCTTTAAATCCTCGATCTTGGGAATCGTTGACAACACTGAATGTTTGGCTCTTCGCTGATTGGCTGGTGCCCGAACTCGCACTTCCGGGGTTTTTGCAAACCGTCTAGTGTATTCTGATTCCTGACCTAGTCGCTGGAGAGAAATTAAATTGAGCGGAGGCACTAGGTGGCAGCAGCCTGGCTACACTGGCGCATGGGCCTAAAAAAATAGTTCACTTCCGCATTTACTTACTTATATATGTGCAAGCTTATATATGTGCTAATATGGGCAAGCTCCTCCCACCTGTGTGACATAAGTAATGTGCACGGTGTGGAGCGTTTGGACCAATCAGAGTGAGAGCTGCTAGAGCGGAGTGAGTGCGGGCTCAGAGCGGGGCTAGGCGAAGTCTTACAAAGCCAAATTTTAGGTGCTTTGAGGATTTAAAAAATTGTAAGTTTATGTTGTGAAAACAGAAAAGAATGCTACAACACTTGACATTTGTGAAGTTGTGGATGCCTGGTCAGTCGAACATGTGCAGTTTGAATTCCCAAAAAATTGTGTTGTGCTTCTATGGGAGGATTCTTTCTGGGCCCAAGCACTCAGGAGCTGCAGTACCTGGAGCGGCCACTAGTTGGTCTTGAGTCAGGACGGAGGGGGAATGCCTTATTCAGTTTTTATTAGGGTGACCAAATGACCAGACATGCCTGTTTTTTGCGTCCTGTCCTGGGCGTCCGTTTTTGTTTTATTTTTATTTTTTTAAGTGATGGAAATGTCCAGGCTTTCATGATCTTTCATTGGGACTATTAAATTGAGCGTCTCTCGTTGCTCTCTGTAACTCAGAAGGAGCGAGCAGACACAAACAGTCGGTCAGTCTGCAACATGCCGAAGCACAAAAGTGCATTTAACAAGAAATTGCACCGTTCGGGACAAGTGGGAGTTCATATGCAAACTAAACCAGGTGAGAGTAGCTCAATGTCGAGGCCCCATCTCCGGTGTAAGGTGTTCGGGTTTTCACAAACGGAAATATGGTCACCCTCGTTTTTATTATAGCTCCAAGGTGTAACTACAAAACTAAGCTTGTAATCAAGGAAACCAAACTCATAACCAAGGAAACTGAGCAGTGCTACTGGGAATTTTTTGGCTTTGTTCACACATAATCCTCGCCTCAATATCCCTGATAAGTTACTGTGGAAATTGCCCGATCGAAATGCAGGGAAATCAGTTCTGGCATCTTTATCTTTGACCCTGTTCATGATCAGGCTGCATGTGTGAATGAGACTTTAGTGTGTCACCTTAGGAAGTATTTGGCTTTCAAAATTTGATTAAACCAGGCTTAAACCAGGATTTGTTAAAATACTGAAGAGAAGAATACATTGAAAACGTATTTAGTTAATTGAGAATAGAAAATACTTGCAATAAAATGTACTATAAACATTCTAATACTTTTTAATTTTATATATTTTTTTATTAAGGACAACAGAATATAACATTTAGAAAATAAAACAACAATCAACATTTAACAATTACAGCAGGGGTGTCAAACTCATTTTGTTCCGGGGGCCATATCCAACCTACTTTGATCCCAAAGGGGCCGGATCAGAAAACTCATGTCATATAAACCCCAAAAATAACAATAAGTTCAAATATTTGTGCAGAGAAATGCAAATCTATTACAGAAATCTTTTTTAATTGATGAACTCTTTCTTATTATATTATGAACAACCTGAAACTTTAAGAAAAAATCAATTTCAACTCAATGTTTTAACATTAACTTGTATGTAAACAGGAATAAGTCAGTTTTTCTTGTAAAATCCTGCACTCGGCTCCACTTTTCTCATTTTGGACATTTTTCTGATGAGGGTGTCACGGTCAACAGTCAAAACGATCGTCCTTTAAGAGCGTTTGGAAAGAGACAAGTCTTCATTTGTGCTGCTCTGGTGGGAGGGGCCACGTACAGAGACGCTGGAGACGCTGCTGTGATAAACACCACAGAAAATTAACAAGATTTTAATAGAAAATATCATTAAAATATTTTAGTAGAAAATCACCCTAGGGCCACATTAAAGGTCTTGGAGGGCCGGATCTGGCCCCCGGGCCTTATGTTTGACACCTGTGAATTACAGTATTCAGCATAAAACAAAGACAAAAACATAAAGCAACACCCACAACACCACAAAAAAAAAAAAAAAAAAAAGCCCGTCCATTTCCCCCCAACCACCCACACCGACACAAATTTGGCAAAATCAAACAAAATAAATGTGATAGTGCAACATAAATACACCGCTAGTCTCCTTAACATTGACACACTTTTTTTTTTTTTTTTTTTTTTAGTCCCGATATTGAAACTAATTTTTATTTTGACCATTAAACATTCTAATACTTTTAATACTTAAAGGTGCATTGTGTAACTTTTATGATGGACGGTCCGCCACCTGCTTTTCACCACGGAGATATTTTGGCTTTTCCTGGAATGTTTCACAGTATGACTTTAAACCTTTCTATCATCATGGAGCCCAAACCAGACCAAGTGACAAGTCAGATCTGTGGAGAGGCGACCCCGCTCACAGTCAGAATGTTGTTTTTCGGGGTATTTTTGAACAATAAAACCACCTGTAATTGGATAAATGTAATGTGGAGCTGTTTAATGTCACACTGTGGAACATTCCAGGCAGAGCAATGACATTTCTATAGAAGGACCCCCAACCAAAAAGTTACACAATACATCTTTAAACACTGAGTTCTATTTTATTATAGAGTAAAAGTTACATAGGTTTAAAACAGCTTTATGTTTTTTGCACCATTTGTTGTTGTGTTTATGTTTATCGCTAATTAGAGACGGAAAAACTTTACATGCAGCACTGTGTTTTTCTCACGCAGTTTGAACCCAGAATAGCATGATCGAGTACGGCGCTGTTTTCCTTTGGTGTTAAGAAAATAACGGCACCAAAATACACAAAATACAGTTCTTCAAAATGTGTTTTCTGAATATTTATTATGTTTTTTTGGTACATGCATTTAAGGGCTGAACGATGTATCCTTTTGGATCGAAAATCCTGGTGACCTGGTGTAGTTCTGATTCAGACCTGGTTCAGTCCTGGTTCAGCTCTGGTTTAGTCCTGGTTTAAACCTGGTTTAGACCTAATATAGTCCTGATTCAGTCCTGCTTCAGTTCTGGTTCAGTTCTGGTTTAGGCCTGGTTTAGACCTGGTTTAGGCCTGATTTAGACCTGGTTTAAACCTGGTGTAGTCCTGGTTTAGACCTGGTGTAATCCTGGTTCAGTCTTGGTTCAGTCTTGGTTCAGTTCTGGTTTAGTCCTGGTTTAGTCTCGTTTTAGTCCTGTTTTAGTTGTGGTTCAGTCCTGGTTTAGTCCTGGTTCAGTCTTGGTTTAGTCTTGGTTCAGTTCTGGTTTAGACCTGGTGTAGACCTGGTTTAGTCCTGATTCAGTCCTGGTTCAGTTCAGGTTTAGTCCTGGTTTAGACCTGGTTCAGTCTTGGTTTAGTCCTGGTTCAGTTCTGGTTTAGACCTGGTGTAGACCTGGTTTAGTCCTGATTCAGTTCTGGTTCAGTTCTGGTATAATCCTGGTTCAGTCTTGTTTTAGTCTTGGTTCAGTTCTGCTTTAGTCCTGGTTTAGTCTTGTTTTAGTCCTGTTTAAGTCATGGTTCAGTCCTGGTTTAGACCTGGTTCAGTCTTGGTTTAGTCCTCCTCGTTCAGTCCTGGTTTAGTCCTGTATTAGTCCTGGTTTCAGTTCTGGTTTAGTCGTCCTGGGATCAGTCCTGGTTCAGTCCTGGCTTAGTCCTGGTTGAGTCCTGATTTATACCTGGTGTAGACCTGGTTTAGTCCTGAGTCAGTCCCGGTTCCGTTCTGGTTTAGTCCTGGTTTAGACCTAGTTTATACCTGGTTTATCCTGTTTTATTTCTGGTTTAGTCGTCCTGGGATCAGTCCTGGTTCAGTCCTGGTTCAGTCCTGATTTATACCTGGTTAGACCTGGTTTAGTCCTGGTTTAGTCTGAGTCTCCTGTTCCGTTCTGGTTTAGTTAGACCTAGTTTATACCTGGTTTAGTCCTGTTTTAGTCCTGGTTTAGTTCTGGTTTAGTCGTCCTGGGATCAGTCCTGGTTCAGTCCTGGCTTAGTCCTGGTTGAGTCCTGATTTATACCTGGTGTAGACCTGGTTTAGTCCTGAGTCAGTCCCGGTTCCGTTCTGGTTTAGTCCTGGTTTAGACCTAGTTTATACCTGTTTTATTTCTGGTTTAGTCGTCCTGGGATCAGTCCTGGTTCAGTCCTGGTTCAGTCCTGATTTATACCTGGTGTAGACCTGGTTTAGTCCTGGTTTAGTCCTGAGTCAGTCCCGGTTCCGTTCTGGTTTAGTCCTGGTTTAGACCTAGTTTATACCTGGTTTAGTCCTGTTTTAGTCCTGGTTTAGTTCTGGTTTAGTCGTCCTGGGATCAGTCCTGGTTCAGTATTGGTTCAGTCCTGGCTTAGACCTGGTTTAGACCTGGTTTAGACCTGGTTTAGACCTGG